TGTGTATATATGTGTATATATGTATATGTGTATATATGTGTATATATGTATATGTATGAGACAGATAAATATGAAGGCATCGGGACAGATAAATATGAAGGCATGCCGGCTCGGACGTCGCCCAGATCAACAAGGTCCGCGTCAGGTGTTGAGGAACCAGGGCACCCTGACGAAAAGTGGGCTACTGGAACAAGAAGGCATCGGTGGGCAAGAGACGAAAACAGGGCGTTGTTGGAATGCTACTATGCAAGTAACCCCGGCGGAAGGGGCTACATGAATAGGATGACGGACCTATGGATTCTTCGATACCCAACATCCACAATGACGGCGAAACAACTAGTAGCTCAGTGTTCCAACATTCGAAAGAAGGGACTGCTCTCACAGCTAGAGATTGACGAGGTACAACACAAATGCTACGGCAAGGAGGACCCGACCCCCACCCGAGATTGGGTACATAGCCCCAAGTGCGCTAACAAGCTGATCTACAATACGGCAGCAGTGATCAGTGAGATGCTTGGCTACAAGTTGAACAGCCACAAGGGGCAGTACCCTCCATGGAGAAGGAGGCTAGAGGGCAAGATCAAAGTAGCACGGAGGGAGGTTAGCCAACTAACGGAGTTGCAGAAAGGTGCGACAAAGAAGGTGCATAAGAAATACAGCAAGCTGTCCATACCTGAGGCCTTGGAAACTGCCAAGCAAAGACTCACAGCCTTGGCCAGCCGCTTGAGGAGGTACACCAGAGAAAAAGGTGTACTCTCAGTGGCAAGGGAACAATAATAAGAGAACAGCACCACCAAGGCTGGAGATGGAGCAATACTGGAAGAGCATATGGGAGAAGGACGCAACCCATAACGGCAATGCTCAGTGGCTAGTGGATCTGAGGGCAGACCACAGCGACCTCCCTGAACAGGGTCCAGTAACCATCACAGTGGCAGATATCCAAGAAAGGGTCTCCAGTATGAAGAGTTGGACAGCACCAGGGCCCGACATGGTTCACGCCTACTGGCTAAAGAAGCTGACTGCACTCCACGAGCGTCTGGCAGCACAAATGAACCAGCTGCTAGTTAACGAGAGACACCCGGAATGGCTAACCGAAGGTCGGACGGTCCTGATCCCCAAGGACCCCAAGAAGGGACCGGTCCCCTCCAACTACCGACCAATAACCTGCCTCAGTACTACATGGAAGCTCCTGTCAGGCATCATATCGGCTAAGATGAACAGGCACATGGGTCAATACATGAGTGGGACACAGAAAGGAATTGGCAAGAATACCAGAGGCGCAAAACACCAGCTACTGGTAGACAGAACAGTCAGCCGAGACTGCAAGACCAGACTGACCAACCTGTGCACTGCCTGGATTGATTACAAGAAGGCCTATGACTCAATGCCTCCAGATGGGGATGTGGCGTACAACACTAGAGGCCAACTCCAAGCCCATAGCACAAGTCACCATCAAGTGCGGGATCTACCAAGGAGATGCTCTGTCCCCACTGCTGTTCTGCATAGGCCTGAACCCCCTCAGTGAGATCATTAATAAGGCTGGCTACGGATACAGACTACGGAACGGAGCAGTTGTCAGCCACCTCCTGTACATGGATGACATCAAGCTGTATGCCAAGAGTGAACGAGACATCGATTCACTGATCCACACTACCTGGCTATACAGCAATGACATTGGAATGTCGTTCGGACTGGAGAAGTGTAGTCGGATGGTAACAAAGAGAGGGAAGGTAGTTAGAACTGAGGGGATTGAACTACCAGAAGGCAACATTGCAGACATAGAGGACAGTTACAAGTACCTGGGGATCCCGCAGGCAAATGGGAACCATGAAGAGGCCGCTAGAAAGGCTGCAACCACCAAGTACCTGTAGAGGGTCAGGCAAGTCCTGAGGAGTCAGCTGAATGGTAAGAACAAGATCCGGGCCATCAACACGTACGCCCTGCCCGTGATCAGGTACCCTGCTGGGGTAATAGGCTGGCCAAAGGAGGAGATAGAAGCCACTGACATAAAGACAAGAAAGCTCCTTACCATGCATGGAGGGTTTCACCCCAAGTCCAGCACCCTGAGGCTGTACGCTAAGCGGAAGGAAGGGGGCCGGGGACTGGTGAGTGTCAGCACCACAGTCCAGGATGAGACAACGAACATCCAAGAATACATTGGGAAGATGGCCCCAACTGACCGAGTGCTCAGTGAATACCTCAGGCAGCAGAATCCCAAGAAAGAGGAGGGAGACGAGGAACCATCATGGAAGGACAGGCCCCTGCACGGTATGTACCACCGGCAGATAGAGGAGGTGGCTGATATCCAGAAATCCTACCAGTGGCTGGACAAAGCTGGACTGAAAGACAGCACAGAGGCACTAATCATGGCAGCACAAGAACAAGCTCTGAGCACAAGATCCATAGAGGCTGGGGTCTATCACACCAGGCAAGACCCCAGGTGCAGGCTGTGTAAAGATGCCCCTGAGACAATCCAGCACATAACAGCAGGGTGCAAGATGCTAGCAGGCAAGGCATAGATGGAACGCCATAACCAAGTGGCCGGCATAGTGTACAGGAACATCTGTGCCGAGTATAACCTGGAAGTCCCGAGGTCAAAATGGGAGATGCCCCCAAGGGTGGTGGAGAATGACCAAGCTAAGATCCTGTGGGACTTCCAGATACAGACGGACAAAATGGTGGTGGCTAACCAACCGGACATAGTGGTGGTAGACAAAGAGAAGAAGACGGCCGTAGTGATTGATGTAGCGGTTCCGAATGACAGCGATATCAGGAAGAAGGAACACGAGAAGCTGGAGAAATACCAAGGGCTCAGAGAAGAGCTCGAGAGGATGTGGAGGGTGAAGGTAACGGTGGTCCCCGTGGTAATCGGAGCACTAGGTGCGGTGACTCCCAAGCTAGGTGAGTGGCTCTAGCAGATCCCGGGAATAACATCGGAGATCTCTGTCCAGAAGAGCGCAGTCCTGGGAACAGCTAAGATACTGCGCAGGACCCTCAAGCTCCCAGGCCTCTGGTAGAGGACCCGAGCTTGAAGGATAAACTGCCCGCAGGGCGGTTTTATATTTATATATATATATATATATATATATATATATATATATATATATATATATATATATATATATATGTATATATATATATATATATATATATATTTATTTATTTATTTATTAGGGGTGCAACGATATTCGTATCGATATTGAACCGTTCGATACAGTGCTTTCGGTTCGGTACGCATATGTATCGAACAATACAACATTTGTAATTTATTTTATCAATTTTCCTTCTGACGATGCTGTCTGTGTTGAGCGCTCAGTGAATCTGTGTTCGACTACTCCGCCTAGGCTGCACTGTCGAGCGCAGATCCACTGAGCGCTCAACACAGACAGCATAGTCAGAAGGAAGAGCGCAGGGCAAGCTAGCGAGACAGAAGTTAAGCTCTACTTGCAACAGGCAAATTGAACCTCATTCAGATCTGGCGTTTGGAATTATTTTGGTTTTCATGTGACGTATGACCCTGAAGGTAAGCGAGTCATGGACTAAAGTAAAACAGTATGTTGGATGTGCCATGCAATGCTCAATTACATTGGTGTGAACTAGTGTGTTAGCGCAGTTAGCTCGTTAATGTGTTGGCCGTCTAGCCCCATGCACGGAGCGATCGGCGGTAGCTCGTTAACGGAGATTTGCCGTGTTGTGGCGTTAAGGTCATTTCAACGAGATTAACCTGAAAGCACTAGTGGGAACACAACGAATATGACTGCACATTTACGCCGACAACGACGGAAGCAGACAAAAAAAAGCAAGCATGCTACTAACTTTAGCCGAGTCATTTAGACAGCTGTTAGCACATGATTCTCCTTATGCTGCTGAGAATATAGCCCAGAAGAAGCGGATAGTATAGCTTTTATTTTGGAAAGAGCCATTTCTCTGTAATAAACTCTCTTTTCCAAAGATGAGTGATTCCTCAATCAGATACAGGGCTTGCAATATCGCTAGCCCGACGTCCTGGAGCTAGCGATTTTTTTTCAGTCGGGCTACCAAAATCTTTCTCTTCCCTGCCCGTTGGGCTATTGTAGGAAAAATATATGTCAATGCTTTTGCATTCTTTCAGAAATGTAGCTGGGTAATTATGTCATTGGCATCGGTGAGCCACTGTCAATATGTGACATATTGAAGTCGCGTTTGAATTTGCGCTTGTTTTTTTGCTTTCACTTTGCAATCGTGCGAACTGTGTATAGAGAGCGACAGCACTGATCTGTGAGTGATGATAATTTGTGCACCAATTCCTCTGACATCGTCTTATTAATCGTTAGCTTACTATGCAAACATGACAAGTGAAATCTCCCGCAGCAAGCTTAAACATGTGAGAGGTTGATCGCGCAGAGAATCGCTGAGCTTATGTGAGTGAGCGTGTAAAAGCATTTCAGTTCTGCTGAGCCAAATAAGACAGGTCAGGGTGAAGAAGTGACAGCCAAAGAAAAGCTTACCACAAAACGGAGAAGTTATGACAAATCAGACTATAAGGCAAAAAGAAAGTGCACCTTTATGGTTTCATGGACAAAATAATTTCTGTGGCTGCGATATGATGAGCTAAATAACCAGGGGTGCACATAAGTGGTCCGCAGGTGCGCATTCGCTGTCAAAATAAAAAAACACGCACAAGGGTTAGGGTTAAATTTAAAAACTGTACTTTTGAGTTAAAATATATATTTATAATTTTAATAAATGACAAATTAAAAATGCATGAACATGTTTTTGTATCGAAAAAATATCGAACCGTGACACCAAAGTATCGAACCGAACGGAACCGTGAATTTTGTGTATCGTTGCACCCCTAATAAATATATATATATATATATATATATATATATATATATATATATATATATATATATTTTTCTTGGTTTTTAGCGGTATTAGTAATATTTTGTTGTATTTATCCGCGACACCTTAAAGACCGGTCCGTGGCCCAAAAAAGGTTGGGGACCGCTGCTGTAGAGCCATGTAAATAAACACTGTACAGTGCGGCTCTCTCTGTTAGTTATGAAGCAGCATCATACGTTTTTCCATACAAGATGATAAGAGGGGAAAAAATCAAGAGGTTTCAACATGATTGTAAAAGCAAGTATATAAACAATGTCACCTTAATAAAGAGAAGACAGAAATGTGTTTTGTACAGTGATCTGATGGCTAGTGAAAGAGATTTGTTCTGTGCTGTTTGTGTTAGCTGTTCGTTTTTTTTAAGCCATGAGGCTTTTTGTGGACCCTTTAGACTACTTCAGACCCACCGTACAAAGCAGCAAGACCAGCAAAATGTAATTGACAGTGCTTAACTCACGTGGTACGTGTGAAGGATCTCATCCTTTGGACTTAATCAGAAATCCTCACCTAATCCCGCAGCCAGGTGGTTCAGCAGGGCTCTTCAGTTTGACCTGTCACCATGAGGTATTCACAGCAGCCAGGACTGATGGCTGTGGGTTAGGGGACAGCAGGGAGACAGTGCCTCACCCTTTGTTTCTGCTTTTGGGAGGTTTATGCCGAGAGCCTACCCTGATGAAGGCCGGTTGGCTCCAGAAGACGGTTAGATGGATAGTGCGGTTGATGTATTTTCGGCGAAAGTGTCAAAGTTAAGTATGCAGCTAGGAAATGAAGAACAGGTCCTGTGTAAGTCTACAATTGAGCTTTATTATCATGTCAGCTTGCTCCGTTTCAGTGTGTGTTTCCTCAGTTTAATATTTTCGCCTGTTTCTTCCCATTTATTTATTTATGTATGCTGGGAGCTTTGATGTAAACCTCAAGATTTGGGTTATGATTACAGCATAAGCGTCCAGTGTAAGTGAAGTGCCGCGTCTCTCATTGTTTTCCTTCCTTCAGTTGAAGCTAAGTGTCGTCACAGTGTGATTATGACCCTTTTTAAGCAAGTGTAGCTAATTTTGGTGCAAATCTTGCATTGCTTTCAGAAAAGTTTTTTTATGCTTGCATATGAAAATTTTCCACCAAGACTGTCAGAGCTCCAGATTAGCCTCCCAGCTGGCCACCCAGGTGTGCGCACAGCTGCACAGATGACTGATTGTGCATCTGTTTCTTTGTTTGCCAGTGTTCATTTAAGGCATGTTTTTTAAATATTCACAATGGCCACTGCTGCTGACTGCAGCTCTCTAATGGAAATAAAAAGAGGATTAAAAAACAAGACTGTGATCATTTTATTCTGCTGTTAATTTGAAGTATGCAAATTTACAAGTTCTACAGTCGACCAGGTGTTAATAAAACAATTACAGGTATTAATTGGAGTCAATCCGCAGCAATGTTGTCATGCGTTATTTGTGTCAGTTCACAATGTGACTGTTGTTGACTCACTGTCTGATTGCGTTCAGATTATAAAGTGGCTTATCTGTGGCCCCAATTGAGTCATGAGAGCTAATGCCATGCAGCCTCTTTTGCTCACAGACTCCATCCAGGCTCTGTGCAATGTGGTAGACCCGTTTGTGTGCACCTATATTTATGTTTTCCCGTTTCCTATCTTATAGGAAGGTGACTCTGGTGATGGTGGGATTGGATAATGCAGGGAAGACTGCCACGGTGCGGGGAATTCAGGGAGGTGAGAATCCAGTTTGCAGAATCATGTTTTATTGACCTCGTTGCGGATGCGTGACCTCTACCTGCTCGTGTTTTCAGACAATCCGCGGGACGTCGCTCCCACAGTGGGCTTTTCCAAAGTCGACCTGAAGCAGGGCAAGTTCGAAGTGACCATCTTTGACCTGGGGGGCGGGAAAAGAATCCGGGGAATCTGGAAAAATTACTACTCGGAATCGCACGGTGTGGTGTTTGTGGTCGATTCCAGCGATGTCCAGCGGATCCAGGAGACGCGAGAGACCATGGCTGAGGTCCTTCAGCACCCACGCATCGCTGGCAAGCCTGTGCTAGTGTGAGTTCTCTGAATAAATAACATCATTAGCTTTTGAGTAGAATTTACTTTGAGATTGCCTATGCACATGAGGGAAAACAGAACGACCAGCAAAGTGCAGAGGGTAAGCTGAAATAGATGGAGATAATAGAGAAATTGCCCAGATTTGAAGCCTCAGCCCTCGCTTCAATTTTGTTGAATGCGGGGTGCACTGCAGGTTGATTCCTGCAGGCATCTGTTTAATCAGTAATCAGGACACAACATGCTGGCTGCAGAGATGAGAGTTAAGTGTGTTTCCAGGTATGCAGAGTGCTTTAATGAGCAAGTCACAATCAGAACAGATTTCAATAAGATTTCCAGACATTGTAATTATGCACCTTGCAAAAAATTGAGTCTGATAAGTGTCCTTGGAACTACCTTACCTTTCTCTTTAATGACTGGGTGAGTTGGATTGCTTCAGGAAATGTAGTGAAAATATTAAGCTGTTTATATACCAGCCAATGGCCCATTCAAAGGGAGGTTAACTGAGGTTTGTTCGCAGCCACAATTTATGGGTATTCCTTAAATGCATCACACTGTGTGAATTAGCAAGTTGCTAATTGGCAAGTTACTGAATTACCTGTGTATAAACGAGGATACACTCTGTGTGTGTGTGTCTAGAGTTTTGGAGGACTGTTCATCCAAACAACATGATTTAGGCCTTTTGCTGGAAATCAAAGACAAAATTATATAATGTGGATTAAAAAAAACACAGACTATAGCGAGTCATCCATCTACCTTTATGAGAGTTTCAGACCATCAGATTTTGAAAAAAATGGGAACTTTTTGCTGAGCTCTCTATTATTTTGTTTTTCTCTGTCCTCTTGTTGGTTAAACTTTTCTTGCACACAGAGTGGAGCAGGTAGCACTATGCCTTGGTACTTGCAGGCCAAATATGAGAAGACCTCAAACTTGGCACTGCACTTATTTGGGTCCCCAGCTATACTGATGAACTGTTATGGAGCTAGGTGGAAACAAAACTAATGGACGGTGGAATGAACAGAGATCTGTTGATGGCCATAACCAACACGTCTTGTTTTTTCCTTTCTGTTTTCAGACTTGCAAACAAACAAGACCAGGAGGGAGCACTGGCTGAAGCTGACATCATTGAGAACCTGTCCTTAGAGAAGCTTGTTAATGAGAACAAGTGTCTCTGTCAGATTGTAAGTGTTTGTGAACTGAATTTATAGACAGAAAGTATGGCTTTGAGTTTTTTTTTTAAAACAGTGAAGATGACCTGTTAATCTAGTGGGTGCAAAGCTACATTTGCATCGGTTAAAAGTTTGTGCTGTTTTGGAGGTGATGTTAATGTTTTAACCTCAATGTACATTTCTTCTACAGGAACCATGCTCAGCCGTTTTAGGCTATGGGAAAAAGGTTGACAAGTCCATCAAGAAGGGCCTGAACTGGCTGCTCAGCAACATTGCCAAAGACTATGAAGCCATCACCGAGCGAGTGCAGAAGGACACTGCTGAGCAGCGCGCTCTGGAGGAACAAGACAAGAAAGAGAGGGCAGAGAGAGTACGGCGGATACGAGAGGAGAGGTGAGGACACAGCAGAAGTCAGTGTGGCAAACAAAATGTGGAAGAGGTTAAACTATAAAGTGGAAAAGTCTAAGACAGAAATTTTTTGAAGCATAACAGGAGGGAGGAGATGGTCAGAAATGTTGAGTAAAGCTCTGGGAGCAGTAGAAATGTTAAAAGGCCAAAGGTTACAAAAGTGTCTGCAAAGAGATATTTATCCCTAAATAAATTATTGCCTCTATTAGAAAAGGGCAACCTTGCTGCCAGTGACTGAACTACGAGCTAGAACAAATGCACATTTTAATCAAATGTGATCTTAGATCAATTTTTTATAAATGTGACACCGCTACCAAGGAGGAGCGTATCATTAAGCAGAAAGGTTAACATCTTATCTGTCCGCAGAGAGCGACAGGAGCGGGAGGAGGCAGAGCGAGAGGGAAGGCCCATCCAAGAAGATGAGCCCGATGATGAGTACATTCAGAGCCCCTTTCAGCCAATAGAGAGCATGATTTCTGAAGTGAGTCGTGTGTACACTCTGGGGCTGATAGTTTATTACTCTGGTTTATGTTGTTGAGACTCTAAAGTTAGAGTGCTTCAGAGAGCCCTTTACTTTCATGTTTTCTTCAGAACGAGGATAAAGAAAAGGAAAGGAAGAGGCAAAAAGAGCTGCAGGAGGGAAGGGGTAACAGCCCTAGGGCAGCCACTGATCAAGAGGAAGAGGAGGAGGAGAAGGAGCAGGGCGACATGAGACAAACACTAGAGAACAACACTCCAGGTGAGTTTCAGGACGCCCGGATCTCCCAAGCTCGGAAATTGAGTTGTTAGAACAAATTCAGTCGAAAGTTTCAGTTGAGGAAAAGTTGATTGGATGAAACGACTTTAGTTAAGTCTTCTGGCAAAGCATTCGAAAGTCTTCTAAAAGTAAGCAGAGTGCGAAACAGTTTTTATGAATACAAAAATGATCTGCCTTGATGTGCAGGGCAGAGGGGGTGTTTGAAGAGCTTTCGCTGGCAGCGTTGTTGTTCAGCTTTGCAACGAGTGAGCTTCTTTTCACTTTGAAAGTGAACTATTGAACAAGATGTTTTAAAATTTAAGAGAGAGATGCAGTCAAATTAAGCCATCTTTTTGATAATCATCTTCTTATTATGATCTAAGCTCAGAGTGCTCATAGATAAAAGGTGATTTAACTTTAAGTAGATGCATTAGAGGATGAAATGATGGCTTCGGGCATTAATTTTAACTTGCTTAGGCCCACTGTTGAAAGCTGAAAGCTGTTATAGTTAAGCTCGTGTTGAACATCTGGATTCTCCACTTGCAACACATGTCTGTTCATTCAGCCACGACAGGTGAGCAGAGCAAGAAGAAGACGAGCAAGCTGCACCTGAAGAGGAAGCACAGGGTGGACCCGCTGAGGATAGAGGACGGACCAACGGAGAGCCTCACCCCTCCTCCGCCTCCAGGTCAGTCTGTACTTCATCACATTGAGCTGCTGTTACATGCAGCTTCTCCACTGCTACCCCTCACCCTGTTGTGCAGAACTGGCTGATTGTACTAATTGGCTCAGTGAGGAAAAACGTCTGTTATGTTTCACTTCCTATTCAAGACTTTTATTGCGAAGGAACTACAGGAAATACGATATGTTTGATGGATTTGGCAGAACTTATTTTACCCATTAGCCGTACAAGGCTGGTGGGGTATTGTATTCACACTGCCATGTGGGCAGGCAGTGTGGACACCCAGGTTAACTCGAGAACAATCTGACATAGGATTTTCAAATTTATACCATAAATTTTTCCACAGTCAATAAAAATTATTTTGCACAATAAACTATGGACACTGTCACACCGACACTAACCCAAAAACAAACAAACAAAATGTCCAACAACATAATTTATTTTACTCGACAATGTGATGGAAAAAGACTTCCAACGCACAATTACAGGCACGTAATAGATGTGAACTGAGCTCAGCATGAGTCCTGGACAAACCCCCAAATATGTTCCTATATATATGAGATGTCAGAATTTTACTGCAATTCAAGAAATGGTTAATAATACAAAAATAATTACAGACAAAGACATAGGACAAGACCTAAACAAGGGCAATGGGAGCCCCGTTAATAACAAACAAAAGCGGAAGAAGGCCTTGAATGACCAAGACTGACAACAGGACCTGCTGGTTACTCTCAAATGAAATCATTATTAACAAACAAAACTGCAGAAATCAGCAGCATGCATATAAAGCCTGTTGCTTTATATTTAAGAGGTATTATAGGAAGATATTTAATACATTTTGATAGGCTGCTTTATAGCTCTAGATCACACAAATACATTGTGGTCCTGTGAGTTTTTGTTGTTTGTGTGCAACATTCAATCTTAAGGAGTGAGATAATCCGCTAGTTATGGCTTTCTTTTTCAGGATCCTTCACTGTTCTCCTCATCCCTCTCTTCTTTATTTTGTTTCTTTAGTGGGATGGGCCACGCCCAAAGTCTCTAGGCTGCCGAAGCTAGAGCCACTCGGGGACACGGGACATTCTGGTAAAGCTGTTTGTGCCGTCAGTGTTAACCGCTGTTTACGTGCATGCATTAACCACCCACCATCTGCAGTTTGTCACTAACTTGGTCTTACTCATTCACTAACTGCAGCACCTGATCAGTGTTTTCTCTACACAGTAGTGATTAAAGCTACATGGAAATAGTAGTTTTGCATGTGTTTTCCTTTTTCTTTTTTTTTCTTTTTAAGGAGGAAGCCTGGTGTTTGTCTCACAGTGTTGGTGGTAGATTTCTAAGTTGCAGTGGAAACCCTGAACTCTGCCTTGAGACGTGCGCTGACTGTTAATTAGCATCTCAACCCCACGTTGTTGTCTTTATTTTTCTCTCCCTCCTGCATCTCTCCAGGCATGTGTTTGTGTGGATCTTTCACGGGTGCAGACATCTAAAATCAACTCAAAGACTTGTCTGTGTATTCATCTGTATTCATTTTCCTCCAGTCTGTGCAGCATCTTTCACGGTTGCTTCCATTGAGTGCTTACTTTTTTAAAAAGAAATTTGTATTTCAGGTCTCCGTGGGCGTTGCGTACTAACACAACCAAACCTTTTCTCCTTCCCTCCACAGAGTTTTACAAGAAACCTCTCCCGCCGGTCGCCAACAGGCCGAGGCCTAACGGCGATGCTCACGACATCATTTCTTAAACCCCCTTTTAGCGATTGAGGTTGACCAATCACGACTGTATTCTCCTTTCCTTTTTGTCTCAAGAGAGCGGCGTGTAGACAACCAAGCAAATAAAAGCTTGACTGCTGTGGATGCCGGAGCCGGGGACCTCTGAAAGGGCGATGGACACTAAACAGAGTTGCGACAGGAAGTCCTGCTCAGAAGCTGTAATTTGACCTCACAAATTCATTGTGAAACCCACCTGAACTGTGCATAAGACTCTGTCTTCACAAGCAAAAGCACAACTTGGTGTTGAACTCTCTCCAGCTCGTAGACTTTATATCCTTCTAATAATATCAGTGTTAGTTCGGACTTCTGTGTCAAACTCTGATGCTTTTAATCGACAGCAAATGTAAATATACCCTTTAAATATGTCTGAATAATTTATTTGTATACATGCCGCCATTAAAATAACCACACCATTTATTTTTGCACTTCTGGGTTTTTAGTGTAAAACACCATGTGGCTCAGGCACCTGAGTAATGATTTAAAAAAGAAAAAAAAAAGAAAAAGAAAAATGGTATCGGTCTTAAGTGGCTTCTTACAGGTGAGTGCTTTAAATTGGACCTTTTGTGAAGTCGGAAACATTTCCAGCTTTTTTTTTTTTTTTTACAGCACTGATGTGTAAAGAGGGCGAGTCACAGCTGGCAAGTGGATTTTGTGGAAGTCACTTTTTTTTTTTTTTTTTTTTTTTAAGGACTATGTTGACTTTTGATGTAAAACACAAAGAAAAGGAAAACACTAATTTAAAAACTCTTTAACTGGATACATTTATAAAGGAACTTTTTATCTACTGTTTTAAAACATGAACATTTACATGTCTACAGAGCTTTTAACACATTCTGCTGTTTACACTGTGTGTCAGTTTTTTTTTTTTTGTTTGTTTTTTTTTAAAAGTGATATTTCTCTCAAGACAGACTCGCTGCCTTTTCAGGTGGCCCTCGAGGTGTGAGCTGGTGCTGTTGGTGTCCCATCTGTTGCGGCGCGGCTGTCTGCTGCGCCCATTTTTGCTTTGAAAAAACCCCCCACTAAAATTGCATCTCGACGAGCATAATCACAAATCTGAAGCTTTGAACACTCCACTGCCCCAGTTAAGTTTGTTTTGTGTGCTGGAGGAGTTTGCAGTAGGGATGATAAGGGAAGAAGAACATACTTCTACAGCAGCACCTGGAAGAGCCAGTATTGGGTCAGAACACATGAGAATATGTGCACCAGAAGTAATAAAAGAAGTATCACTTTAAAAAAAAAAATCCCTGCAATGTTGTATTTCAGATCTGTAGTACCATGCTCACTCTCTTTTAATGTGCTAGATGTTTTAAAAAAATAAAGATATTTTTTCTATCCAGATTGAATTTTATAATGGCAAAATAAAAGATGTTTTAAATATATTACTGAGTGACTGCAGTATTTCTCCATGAGTATTTGCACTTGTCAGGGAAATGAGTTGCCTGTTGCTGTGGAGTGTTTGTTGTTTTATTTTTAGCTTAACATTAAGAGCAGTGCATTTGACATCCAGCTCCTGCTTAGCATAAACTTCTGTCTCTCAGGCAATGCCGATAATGGCTATTATTGCCATTTTGCAGTCAGGTTTTCCCTCGTGAGGCTTGTATTTGAAGCTTCACTGTATAATACTCTGGTCTATCTGCTGTGTAGCCCTCAAACTGCCGCAATAAATAAAGAACCACAAATAAGCAAAAGATCTAGTTAGAAATAAAACTTAGATCGTCCTGTCTGATGGTACTTAATGGTACTTGATATTTAATCAAAGTTCATCATCTGATCACACTTTGACACGTCTCTAAGAACACCCTGAGGATATAAATATGGAAACATAATTATAGTATTTTAAATATATACATACATATATATATACATACATACACATAATATATATACATACAGTGGGGCAAAAAAGTATTTAGTCAGCCACCGATTGTGCAAGTTCCCCCACTTAAAATGATGACAGAGGTCAGTAATTTGCACCAGAGGTACACTTCAACTGTGAGAGACAGAATGTGAAAAAAAAATCCATGAATCCACATGGTAGGATTTGTAAAGAATTTATTCGTAAATCAGGGTGGAAAATAAGTATTTGGTCACCTCAAACAAGGAAAATCTCTGGCTCTCACAGACCTGTAACGTCTTCTGTAAGAAGCTTTTCTGTCCCCCACTCGTTACCTGTATGAATGGCACCCGTTTGAACTCATCATCTGTATAAAAGACACCTGTCCACAGCCTCAAACAGTCAGACTCCAAACTCCGCCATGGCCAAGACCAAAGAGCTTTCGAAGGACACCAGGAAAAGTATTGTAGACCTGCACCAGACTGGGAAGAGTGAATCTACAATAGGCAAGCAGCTTGGTGTGAAAAAATCAACTGTGGGAGCAATCATCAGAAAATGGAAGACATACAAGACCACTGATAATCTCCCTCGATCTGGGGCTCCACGCAAGATCTCATCCCGTGGGGTCAAAATGATCATGAGAACAGTGAGCAAAGATCCCAGAACCACACGGGGGGACCTGGTGAATGACCTGCAGAGAGCTGGGACCAAAGTAACAAAGGTCACCATCAGTAACACACTACAACGGCAGGGAATCAAATCCCGCAGTGCCAGACGTGTTCCGCTGCTGAAGCCAGTGCATGTCCAGGCCCGTCTGAAGTTTGCCAGAGAGCACATGGATGATACAGCAGAGGATTGGGAGAATGTCATGTGGTCAGATGAAACCAAAGTAGAACTTTTTGGTATAAACTCAACTCGTCGTGTTTGGAGGAAGAAGAATACTGAGTTGCATCCCAAGAACACCATACCTACTGTGAAGCATGGGGGTGGAAACATCATGCTATGGGGCTGTTTTTCTGCCAAGGGGACAGGACGACTGATCCGTGTTAAGGACAGAATGAATGGGGCCATGTATCGTGAGATTTTGAGCCAAAACCTCCTTCCATCAGTGAGAACTTTGAAGATGAAACGAGGCTGGGTCTTCCAACATGACAATGATCCAAAACACACCGCCCGGGCAACAAAGGAGTGGCTCCGTAAGAAGCATTTGAAAGTCCTGGAGTGGCCTAGCCAGTCTCCAGGCCTCAACCCCATAGAAAATCTGTGGCGGGAGTTGAAAGTCCGTGTTGCTCGGCGACAGCCCCAAAACATCACTGCTCTCGAGAAGATCTGCATGGAGGAATGGGCCAAAATACCAGCTACTGTGTGTGCGAACCTGGTAAAGACCTATAGTAAACGTTTGACCTCTGTTATTGCCAACAAAGGTTATGTTACAAAGTATTGAGTTGTATTTTTGTTATTGACCAAATACTTATTTTCCACTCTGATTTACGAATAAATTCTTTACAAATCCTACCATGTGAATTCATGGATTTTTTTTTCACATTCTGTCTCTCACAGTTGAAGTGTACCTCTGGTGCAAATTACTGACCTCTGTCATCATTTTAAGTGGGGGAACTTGCACAATCGGTGGCTGACTAAATACTTTTTTGCCCCACTGTATACACACACATATATTTATGTTACATGAATAATGAACTCATTGGCCACTTAGGTATTATTAGGCATTAGGCACAGAACAAAGGGATGGACATGGTTAACAACAATACTTCTGTGGGCTGTGGTGTTTAAATGTTACTTGCTTTGTACCAGGGGGCACAGATTGCAAAGAAAATGTTCCTCACATCATTACACCACCAGCATGTTCTTTACGCACCATCTGAATATGGCAGCAACTCAACCAACTCTTCAGAATTCTTGAGACTCTCATTGTCTTCCATTGTTCAACTTTTGTAAACCCCTCAAAACTTTAGCCTCAGTTTCTTTCTTTCTTTTTTTTTTTTTTGTTACAATAGTGACACTAAGTGTGGACTTCTGCATTCAGAGATGCTCTTCTGTATACCGTGGATGAGGTGGATCTTGTTTTTTTTGTTTTTGTTTTTTTTAGTAACTATAGCCTTCCTGTCAGCTTGACCTCTTTCATAGATATTTTCTGTATATTTTCTCTTTTTCGCACCATTCTCTCTCGAGTATGGAAGCTTGTTTCCACTACTGAAAATGATTTTTTGCCATCCATCCAGTCAAAATTTCACCAACTCAAACTTACCCCCCAAAAAGTGAAATTTCAAGTTAGTGAGCTGAATTTTTTTTCTCTTTATTAGCCAGATAGTGAAGAGCATGCAGGAAAGCAGGGAGAGAGAGTGGGGAAAGGCATGCCTCAAAGGAACCCGGGCTGCTGTATTTAAGCTTGCCGCTTATGATTTCCCTGTGAGCTAGATTGCTGCCAAGTAAGTTGAAATTTTGACTTATGGATGGATAAAAAAGTTTTTTTCTGCAGCGGAAACAAGTAAACCCTACAGATGGTTGTTGTGTAATCAGATAATCGATGTCCGCATGCCTAAATGGACTGAGCTGTTGCCATGTGATTGTCTCATTAGATACTGTGATAGTGGGCAGTTAAACAGGTATACTTATAGGAGTTGTTGTTCTACTTGTGGTTTCTACTTTTCTATTAAAGCAACAAGTGAAAAACAGTGTTTTAAAAGAGATATCACAGGAACAACTGGGCGTGACTGATACAATCAGCAGCAAACTGCTGTGGTTTTAGTATACCTACATGGTCTAAAACATGAACAACGTTCGTACTGAAGAGTTGCTGTTCTGTGGCTTTTATACTGATATCTCCATCATGGAGCAGTGACAGATAAACAGAAGTGAAACAATGTTTTGAATGAGCAGGTCCATTAAACAGCTCTTCGCAGAGAACAAAAGACAAAAATAATTTGAAGGGTGAGATGAAAACAAGTAAGCACAATGTTGAGACATTTGATAAATTGGCTCCTTTGTTTGACAAAACACTGTAAGATTCATGTGTTTGGGCTTCGAGAGCAAACTGAACTGAATGAACCCACCGCAGCTCTAAAACACACAGAGCCTGGATGCAGCGTCTCTTCTCGTTCCCATCTCGTGGTGCAGTAGTGATCTGTCACTAATACAAATTAAACTCCCCACAGGCGAAATGTATTCCAATGTGGAATTAGCCTGTATAGTAAAAGAGCTAAAATGGAACGTGCGATGAAATGATGGATAACACTTAACCTTAAACTAAATCTTTAAAGCATGGTAGGCAATTTAAGCCCCTTGCTGACAAAGTAATTACACATTTGCTAAAGTACTGATGAGAGTGGGCTGACCTCATCTTCTGTATTACTTCTTTTTCCAGAAACAGGAGGTAGAGACGTATTTGCCAGGATTTTTAAAGACTAAAACGGGAGAATGAAAACTTTAGAGAGACTCGATAATGTTTCTTGAACACATCCAGCATGTGACAATTCAGAAATGAGCTTCAGTCTCTCTAAAAATAGTTGTTTTTCGGCTGCTCTGTATCCTCATTCAGGTCTTGTCAAACATCTGCTCACAGCATCTACAGCCTGTGTCTCCTGCAAGCTGAACATTGAAATGATGTGCTGTCTCATTACTGCTCTGCCTGTTGTCGATGTGCAGGCAGGCTTCATTTAAGTGAAGGATTTCGCAGTGCCGGAGCTGAAATCGGTGTGATGATGCTGTGTCCTGCAGAAGGAGGACAGCAGATGCACTGGTGCCCTTAAGCAGGCGCTTTTAACCATCAATCCCCTCCCTCATTATGCTCGCATCCTTTAATATCATCAATCTTTGACGTCCATCTCATTCCAGGAGCGGTTTTCTGATGAAGTGTTGTAATTTACTTCCCTTACCCCACTCAAAAATCTGCTTCTGTGCATCTGTTTTAGTTAGTGATTTTCTGATGACCGCAAATGCCTTTAAGCACATCCCAGACAGTGAGGAGAGGGTTAGCACTCCCTTTATTTAGCCTTTACAATGGTTCAGATCACAAAAAAGAGGGTTCCTTGTTTTGAATTATGATATGAGGTTGTGTTGCATTTTGGTCTATTTTGTCAGTGAAGAAACTGGTCTCTGTTCCTCTTCAACAATAGATGTCTCTGTGTATTGTTGTGCAAATGCAGTTTGGTATCACAAAACACTCAGCTATCAAGCTCTGTTGTGTCTGTTCTGGAAATGCTTCAGTGTGATATCAAGTTAAGGTAAGTAATCAGAAAACGCTGCAGTGCTGTGGCTCTCTCTTTTGAAGCAGCGTGCTCATCACTGCCATCATTACACATATGGGGAACAAATTAAGGTTTAAATTGGGATAAATGGGTTTTAACCCAGAAAAATCAAAATGGATTCACAATCTTCACAATAACAACTGAAGAATTTTCAGACAACTTGCAGAAATGGTAAGTAAAAGACTTTGGAAGCACAAGCAGGAGGTGGTTAGTGGATAATTTACATTTTATTCACTTTAGAACTCAACCTGATGTTAATTTGCTTCAGTAAAACTC